GGGACCTCTCGCACCCTAAGCGAGAATCATACCACTAGACCAAACACCCATGTTATTGGTCTACCTGTTTTTTCAACCTATATACCTTCAAATGAAGACTAATAAAACCATATAGATTTAAAAAACATTCATGTTACTTTGACTTTAAATAAAAAATTGAGATTATTTACTATAATTCATATAAACAAAGATAAAGGAGATAATTATTGAATAAGAATTGAATTATTCACTCTTTAATCACAATAGAAGTAATGATCATCATGAACGTCCGAAGAATCCAGTTAGCTTAGAGAGTAGACCACCACCTTGAGGCTTGTATTTAGCGATAGTTTCATCAAGTGCTGGGTAAGCAACATAGGTTCCAGCTAAATCAAAGAATTATGGAGTTGCTGGGACACTTTGGAATTTAGGGACTGGGTTTAATAGCTTGAATTGTTTGCTAATCTTGAGCTTATCTACTTCAATGGCCTTTCTTTCACCAAGAGTGCTGCTTATTACAAGATTCTTTCCTTGACTCTCTAGGAAATCTAATCTGTCATTGGTAATCTTTAACTTCTTAGTTAGATTTTCCTTTTTCTTGCCATTGCTAGTGAAAAGAATATCATACAAGTTATCGAACTTAACTTATTTAGATTTGCTTTCTCCAATAGCGCTATCAATCTGCATTTCAGAAATCTCACTTTGAACTTTTGAGAACTCCTCATGCTAAGTTTATAGTATCTTTGAATGGCTCTTGCAAATAAGATAGTTTAGATTTTTCAAGAGATTGTCTTCTAAATCTTGAAGATCTCTCTTCACTTTTTAGCCCTATAGAGAATTCTTCTGAGCAAATTCAATAGTCTATTCAATATCTTGAGAAACTCTAGTAAGGATAAGGAATGCCTCTTGATAGCTTCTCTCATTTGCATAGTGAAGACCAATATAGTACTTGATTTGAGTATTGTAAAGTTTTTCATAGAAATCATACTCAAGTTGCTTGAAAGGATCGATGGTATCTTTTTCCATATTTTAGATTGATCTTTATGCCTTCAATACTTTTTCATAGAATCTGACAATGTTTTGTGGTCTTAGTTCAGATTTTAGTTTGAAATTTGAGAATAGAGTGTCAAGGTCAATCTTCTTAGATAATGTCTTTGCTTATAGGAGATTTCTCTCAATAGAGCTTTGTTATTTAAGTCTTTGAACATAACTGATCAAAATATTGTAAAGCTGACCACTTTGTTCACTCTTCTTACTCTCCTCAGCTTTTTCTTTCTTAATGACTAATGCAGCATCTTCAAGAATGTTGACAAGGTTGAGGTAGTACTTAATCTATTATCCAGCCTCAAATTCTTTGCTATCCCAATACTCACTTATATTGTGCATGTCTGTTTCTACTCTCTTGAAAACTTGCTTGAGTTTATCGGTCTTAAGTGGAACTGTTTTATTGTTATAGGTGATTTCATCAATCTTCTCGATCTGCTCTCTTCTAGTTTCACTCTTAACCTTACTGATTGTTTCTTCAAGGTCCTTTCTTTGAGGGAAACTTTGAACAAGATTCAAAAGATTTGCTTCCTCTTCGGCCTTAGTCATCATGCCTTTCAAACTGAATGAACAAAGTCTAATCAAAGTGTCTAATTATCCAACCTTTTCCTTATAGATGATTGCCTCAAGGGAATCTTTGAATTGAGATATCTTCTCATAGATTATTTTGGATTTTAAGAGGTTGTCTAATGCTGATTGATAATCCTTAACATCCATTTGATATACTGCTTGCATGCTTGAAACATAAGCTTCAACTTCCTTTTGTCTGTAAGCATCTAATGAATCTTCTGAAACTTTGAGCAAATACTTAGATGATGTGAAGGCTTTTTGGAGTCTCTTACGAGCGTGATACTTAACTCTGTTGGGGTTACGGCTGAACATCTATTAAAGATTTGGATCAGCTCCAACCTTTGCTTATCCACCTCCACTGATAATTTACTTCATTTACATTGCATAAGCCCAACTAGCTTCACATTTGAATATTAGCAGATGCAAGTATTTGTGATCTTTTGATGCCTCAGATGCAGTAACATCCTTTTTATTGAATTGCTTTCTGCCTTGAGTGAATTTGAGTGACTTTCTAATTCTGTAAATCTTTCTGATACAATACTTATGATATCTACCATAATCGTTGTGCCTTAGACCATTCTGGTTCTAAGAGGATTTCACCATGATCAAAAGATCTTGCAGTTAATTCTTAAGTCTTTCCTCCTCATTGATTTCAGCCTACTCTGTATTTAAGGTTTAATCCTAGGTAGTTGTGTCAATCTACATCTGCTCTGAATTTTCCATATTGATATACTATTTTATTAAGTAAAATAATAAAGAATAATTATTCACAGTCAGAAATCAATTAATTCAAGATTATAAGTAAAATAAAAATTTAACAGTACATTTAATGGAACACTAAAGACCAGTTTTATACACAAGTGATTAGAATCCATAATTCAGATATTAAACCATTAGCAATCAAGTGGTATAGTCCTACAGACAGCAAGATAATAACTAATCAAATCAAGGTAGAGTATCCTAGAAGCAGAGAAAGGTAATGAGTGCTACCAGAAAATCCTAGATCAAACGAGCTTACTCTAATAAGGGAGTTGTAGGTCGAAATACCAGTGTTCGAAAATCTCAAAACTAGATTATGCCCTAAGGTCTATATTTTACTAATATTCATAACTCGCATACAACTTTGAATTCTCATCCAAACTCAGCAACTACAGCTATTTCGCATCAGGACAACTCAGAAAGAAATTTGAGTGGGATTTAGCAATAATCTTTCTCACCAGTTATAATAGATTAAAATCAGGTAATGTGGGCTTAGCATAATTAGCAACTTCTTGAGTTATAATAGCAACGGTAATTTATGAAGACAGCAGCTGCTTCCTCTAATTAAATAAGCATAACCTAGCAATAATAGCCAGGTTAGAATTAGAAATAGCAATATCAGACCCATCATTAAAACTTGTAAAATGTGTAACAGATTACCAATTAAACTAGTGCATTTTCTTAATATAAAAAATCTCTCAGCAGTAATAATAACAATAACAATAATCATCAATCAGCTGATAATATTGCTCATATCGATTAGGAGATTTAATAAAAGTTCATTAATAAGCAGAGAAAACTTAGAGTAAAAACAGCAAAAAAAAGAAATCATATTGATACCAAACTCATTAGGACACAATAATATATAACTTATGAGCCAAGAATATTAAGCAAGAAGAGAAAATCAATTGATTCACAGACTAATATAGATCAAATGCAATATTTTGGAGAACCTTATACTGGGCCAGGAGATTATAATCACGAAAATATCACTGGAAATAATCAAATAATAACATCAACAATCCAATCTCAGCCTAAATACTCCTTTTCTAAATCAATCAGGCCTGAATTCGATCTTAACAAATCTTAGATTATCTAAAACATAAAGAGAATAAATTCATTTTCTAATAAAAACAGCACAGCTAGTTATCTGAATAAGTCTGTAAATTGTACAATAGTAACACCAGGTGTAGGTGACTATGAGATTGAGAAAGAAGTAGCTCGTTAAAGATCCCCAGTATGCACTATAGGAAAATAAGATAGATTTAAAAGATTGTCCTCACAACAGAGGTATAAGCCCAACCTACCAGCTAGTTATGTATCCAATCTTGATGAGAGGTAAAAACCCAAAATTTCTCTTGGGATAATAGATAAACAGCATAGATTTAAAAATCATGGAAGCGTATCACCTGGTCCAGGAGATTATGACTTGACAGGCTTTAAATCTCTAAGCAAAGGAGAACATTCTATTCTTAATGGATAATATAATACAACAAGTTCTCCAAGATTAATGAATACTCTGAGTCCTTTTTCAATGTCTAAAAATACTTTAAATCACACTTCAAGGTAATAATATGAAAAGCTATATCATAGAGAATATGATAAGGCCTTGCTCAATTAAACTGGTCCAGGTCCAAGCTACTATAAACATGAGAAGTTCAACTAGAGTTTTACCGCTGATTAACATAAATATTCAATTCCTAAGGTAAATCCTATTTTTCAATTCAATTTATATTAGGACGATAGAAGAATAATGCTTTAAGAGTGGGATGCTAAGCATAAAACTCCAATATAATATAGTAACATTTAGAAGGAGATTAATCTACTGCTGAGGAGTTCTTAGAGTATTAAGATTCCTCAATTTAGAAAGAAGTTTGATCCTAGAAAAAGTAATATATTTTATATTTGAAATTTTAGTGACTGGACTGCATGCAAGCATGTGGAGAAAAGGTATAGTAATTCAGTGAATGAATTAATATATTCTTAATAGTTTTATGTATACACTAAGTTAATTATAAGAAAATACAATTTAATATTCTAATAAGTACACAAGCTATATTTAATAGCATTAATCTCTTTTCTATATAATATTCCTTTGTTTATTTCATTCTTTTATTAGTTTAAAATAGATTAATTATTTTTAAGTTTCGACTGATTAATAAGTGAATTTAAAATCTTGGGGTTTTGGGGTTTTGGGGTTTTGGGG